ATCATCATCATGACACGATATGATACACTGTATTGTCCACACACATTTAGCTGCCTTGACAGAAGCATTAATACAAAAAACAATAAAAGCGAACAACAATCCACATTCACATGAAAAACACAAACAATAGAAAGCATTCTGCACATTACTCCTATTGCACAAGATCTGCATAGATCACAGCATGATAAGTAAAAAAGACAATAACACCATAATGCTGTTACACAACCCATACCCCCTCCAGCCTCAAGTAACATCGTTTTAAAAAGTTAAGGCTTATTTTGGGGCTTTTTATGCCTTTATTGTAGAGACAGGACAGTGGATAGTAGGGCTGGGAATCTTTGGGTGTCTCACAGTTTGATTCGATTTCGATTCTTGGGGTCACAATTTCGATTCAGAATCTATTTTTTCGATTTTTCTGGATTCAAAGTTTATTTTCTGTTTAGTACATACATCAGGATCTACTCCAGTCATCTGTGATACTCGTTAAATGTCTTGTTGCATTCTACTGAGATAAAGAGTTAGCACTTAGCAGGGAGTGACTGATTAGCCCAAAAAATAAAGATTTTTGGAAGTTATGAATCTGTTTAAAATCTCAGAAGATAAGAATCTTGATTTTTGATCATAAATCAATCAACTTTTTTCCCACCCCTCGTGGATAAAGTCAGGACTCAGGGAGAGAGAGAGAGTTGGGAATGGGATGCGAGAAAGAAGCCACAGGTCGGATTTGAACCCCAGCCACTCGCTTGGAGGACTTTAGCCTCTGTACGTGGGGCGCTCGCACTAACCACTAGGCTTCCAGCGCCCCCATAAAAAAAAATCCTTATTGATAAAGAAATCCTCAAAGGTCGGAGTCAAAGTTCTGTTGTTGCCAACCAGAGATGACAGGCAGCTTCGCAGCAACCAGCCGAGTATCTCTAATAAAACGCAGCTCGCTTTGTGCACTTAAAATAGTACATGAGACATCTGACAGCCAAAGACTTGCCTGAGTCTTTCCGTCTCTTTCTTGTGTGTGTCTCATATACATCTAAAAGGAAACACATTTTTAATTGTGAGCTGGGGCTAAAAATACAGCCGTCTGTGTGGATCAAACCAGGACTGCTTCAGGAACCATTCATGCTCCTATTTGTGTCAGCCGTTTGGGTTTTATTTCACACCAAGTGCAGCTAATCTAAACACAGTGGAAATATCAGTTTGACAGGTCAAGTTACTTCCTGTTATGTAATAATTATTCAAACAATAAGAACGGGTCGCTTTCTGAGCTTCTGAGCTCAGCGGATCAGGAGGGTTCACCGACGGGTCACAGACAGAGTCGCTGTATCCCTTGTGATCTTCCAACGTTTCCCCTAGAAGTTCTTCATCCTTAACCGTCTCACATAAGCCCATAAACTCGCAGTCATGAACTTAGCAGGGAAGAGTTTTAAAGCATTTGTTTTCTGTCCAAATTTCCGTGCATATAAGCTACTTAGAGTGAGGGAAGGAAGCACAGAGGTGAGGCTTGAAGGAGCCTCATAAACTGACGTTTTACTCATTTCTGCTAACAAATGTCCGACTTACTTTATTTTCCTTATATGGGTTTATTATTCAAAGTAAATATCATAAATGTTATTTAAAGGCATTAAAGGCATGGGACTCCTATTCTTATTTGATTGTTTGGGATCAAAATTGTCTCAAAAGCGTGTGTATCCATCCTTTAATAAAAGACATGCAATGTGCTGCATATTAGTTGTTAAATTTCACCTTTTAATGCCAAAAATGTATTCATCCTTTCATCTGGAATCACCGGCATTCAACGTCTCATATATTCCTCTGCAACAGGAATAAAAGATTCAGACAGTGAGATGCACGCGCAATCAAAAGTCATATGAGTTACTGCATGATGCAGGTTGTTTCCTCATTAACGGGCTGTTCTCATCGGGCTCAGATTAAAGGAAAAAGCGACGGTGTGAGTCAGAGAGAATCTGTTATGTTATAGGTGACCTCTGGATGGACCAGCTGCTGAACAGGAATGCCAGAGATTGATAGCGCAAATGCTGACGTAACCGGCGGCCACAGCTCCCACACTTCTCTCTCTCTCTCTCGATATGATCAGTATGTAATACTGCGGCTGGGAGGAAGTCTGGCACGCTTCATGCTGTATCATGTTGCCGACTCAGAGCTGTTTAGGTGCACTGTGGGCACTGATAACGCCAGCACACATCTACAAAGGTTGGCAGAGATAGGAAGCTCACTTCATTAGGCGCTTAATGTGGGATCCTCACTCAGACAAAAAAAATCACATTCAACAGGAATCATTCACAAACTGAACCCTCTGTGTTCTGCAGATTATGTTTAGTTTTCCAAGTTTTTGGCACAAGTTGAATTACATGTTGGGATTGTTTTCAACTATAAAATTCCTGTAAATAAATGATGAGTCTCTTATTATCGTAAACATGAACTCCTAAAAAAGCCCTAAGGCAAAAACTGTGCAGTTAACAGGAACTATTTGTTCCCATACAGACGTCAGAGACAGCTCAAACAGAAAGTGGAAGTCCTGTGATTTTCGTGAAACTAAAATAGTCCTGTGTTCGAGTAGTTCTGTGGTTTTACATCGACAAATAACATCTAAGTCTGTGGAAGTGATTTTCAGCAGTCTTTAAAACTGTTTGCTCAGCTTCTGTTGTTTCCAGGGTTTCTCTTCCAGTCAGTGCAAATGTAAAATGTTCAAATATGTAACTCAAATGTAAAGATAATTAGATTTCATTTTTGTTATTATTATAAGGTTATAACTCCAGTGAGCATGTCTAAATATTTCAGTTGCTCTGCATATGTGCAGCCCTTAATGTGCAGAGTTAGGACTTTGCTGAAAGAACGGGCTGCATTGATTTATCTCTTCTTGCCAATTCAAGGCAATATTTACAATTATAATTTATGTAAATGTACGACTGAGTTAGCCTGGTGAAATAAATCAATTGAATACATTCCTTTTTTGTGAGTGCGGGTCTCTGCAGATATTTGAAGTCAGGAGCTGAAATATCATCAGTGAGCCAAAAAAAAAAAAGGCAGAAAGACAAATCTTATTTTCTTCAGACAAAAGAAGGTCTTGTAAAAATCTTGAGCTAGATAAAAAGAATTAGAGCTCAGTATGATCGATGTTTATACTCTCCCCGCCTGCTCTTCCACACTTACAGGCACATTGATTCTGCGTTTTATGAACACTATATAAGATTTTATACACATAACATTTGCTATTTATGCCTGATATGTTGTCTCATTGGAAACTTAAGGTTGTCTTTTTGTCTTGCTTTATCACAGAGGTTCATCTGAAAGAAGCTGCTTCTTCAAGAGGAATTACAGTATTTATATATTTTGACTTGCAAGCACCTAACTTATCTCTCCCCATTATCCCTTTTAAGTCATAGCTGAGGAGGTCAGAGGTCAGGGCACCTCAAGAGCAGGAGGCAATGTACTGTAAAAAAAACCACACAGAGGTATGATCGGTCTTCCATTAACCAAGGATCAAAACACTCTTTGATTCAATGCTTATTTTCATGATAGATGTCTGAGTAATATTTAAAGGATCTCAGTCCAGTTACATCATTTTCAAAAGGGGTGTACCACAAGGCTCCATCTTGGGACCACTTCTTTTTTTGCTTTCTTTCCGCAATTCTCTGTTTGCATGTTAGAGAGAATGCAGCAGTTTACCTGAAAGTTATAAATGATCTTTGGTAAATATGTCCACAGTGTCCTGATCACCTTTATGCAGATGACACTGTTGTTTACCTGTCAACTCTGATCACAAATCACAAATACATGATTCCTTAAAGTCTGATTTTAAAAGGTCCAAAACTGATATATATATATATATATTCTATAGAATAGGAAGAAATGCTTGTGCATGGGGTTGGAATAAGACACAGTCTGTCACATTCCTCCAAATTGTTTATTAATTTTAATGATGGGTCTGTGTTTGAGTGAGTCAGTGTGTTAAAATATTTGGGACTCTGGAACGACCCTGAGCTCTCTTTTAAGCCACATATCGGTTTTATTACTAAAATAACGTATGGTTGATTTGTTTTAAGGAGTCCAAAACACACCACTGCTTCACCTGTGAATATCTTATTTGTGCTTTATATTTTTTTGTAGTCTATTTCTGGTTTTATTCTCTAGCTGAGAGCTGGGGTGGAAGTTGGGGCGGTAGCATTTGTCTGTCTGTAATTGTAGTATATGTCTGATAAATATTGCTGTTTGTATTTGGGTTTGGACCCCCTTGAGATAAGATGCCGCATCTCATCCTTTAATAAATTGAAAAGCTTATCTTTTCCGTGATTGGCCGTGACAGTAGACGCGCCATTGCTTGGTCCAGCCATGCTTTAAATTTGGAGGCTGTGGTCGTCTCCTTCTTGACCACTGAGTCGTGGTTCAGGAAACAGCAGCTTGTCTCCGGAGGGCGCAGGGCATGTGGCTCTGCCCCCTTTTACGCAGCCAAATGCAGGAACAGGAACAGCAGCTTAGCAGCGTCAACAGTGCGCTCTCCAGACGCGTCAAATGCGCACTAAAACACCGGAAAATAGGCGGATTTATCCTTCAAAATAAAATACGGTTTTTGTTGAGTTGTTGAACAAATATCAACTGGAGAAATAAAGTCTTCGGAGGTATTATTAAACACTGAAACTTTACGAAGGTAGGACCTGTTTAAAATTCTCATCCCGGGTGTTTTGAGTTTTAAAATCATTCTAGTAATATGTCATAGCTCATCAACCATGCCATGTGGTCAAATGTGAACAGACTATGGGGCCTGGTTTGGCTTAAAGATACTACTGAAAAAAAATCTGTTAAGTTTTTTCAATTCTGGCAGGAAAAAAAAAACTAATTTATCTTCCTGATCACAGAAACCGATACGCGTGTGGGGTTTTATTTTGAAGGAAGTGGTGCTTGATACATTTGATTGACTTGACACTGGCGCGCTCATATCTGTTCCTCTCTCTCCCCCGTGATTGTGTGTGTGCTCACTCCCTCTTTCTCCGTGTCGATGCGTCGTCGTCTCCGCTCCTCCAGTCTGCTGCTGCTGCACATCCACAACGGAGCCACCACGCCGAGGAGGCGGGCCCGACTGTAGCTACACCTCGGCCAGCGGTGCTGGGTCATAGCGCTGGTGGAGGGTGGGGTGGGAGGGGGGGCAGCACTCTCTGCTCTTCTTGCCCTTCCTAAAGCGTGCACAGCCTGAAGGCACTGAGGACACCATCACCTCAACGCCGACTGGAATAGTTTTTGGATTTTGGATCAGACGCTCCAAGTTGCAGCTGCAGAGGCGCACTTTTCTCCGGGGCTCCTCTCTCCTTCTGCCTCTCACAGTCCGAAATGGAAGATGGTCCGTCTTCAACAAGCTGTTTCAGAAGGTTAACGGACTGTTTCCTGGGTGCAAGTAGGTATTTTTGACAAACACTTCAACACTAAAATCATCGCTGAAATTTAGGCACAATTTTAAAATCTTTGCTTACAGTATCAGGGCAGCAGATCGCGAAAATAACACAATTTTCGGTTCTGCAGGCGTAAGTAATTTACCCATGTGTCTACCCAACTTTATGAATGACAGAGTGAGAGCAGATTTAAATGGGTTATTTAGCGGCGACAAGGCTGGACTGCAAACTCGAGAGTGTCTGTGTGTCTACGGGGTTTTTGTTTTGTTTTGTATACAATATTAGAAGTTTATGAGTTTGTCTCGGCTTGGAGTCGGTCCGGACCCGGTTTGTAGCAGCAGGGACAGCCAGCAGTGCTGCAGTGAGACATGGGGGCATCAAACAGCGGAGAGGAGTCTGCAGCTTCTGCAGAGGAGAGAAGATACTAATCAATGAAAAGACATCTATGAATAAAAATGAAAATATAAATGAGAATTCAGCATTTTTTGTAATAATAAACACAGTAAGTTTTATATAATAATAAAGCTGCAAATACCAATCCATTCTCCTACATCACTCATACTTTTTCTTCACTTTTCTCAGCACAAATCATTGATTATGTGAGCTGCAGTTTACAGCCACAGTTAAACATTATTATTATATAATGATTTAACACAGTGAGACTTATAAATGTATATATTGTTTTGTCAGCCACCACTACAAAAAAACATCCTCTGCCTCCGCCTGTAACCACATTTCTCTTGGCATGCTTGCACCCCTCAGTGATGAATTGTAAAGTCCTCGCTGCAGATTTTTGGCACTTTAACAGAATTTTTACTTTTAGTATCCCTGATATTATGGGAACATCTACTTTAGGCTTTAGGGTACTTTATTTATTTGGGCAGAGAAAGAAGGTATAAATAAGACAGAAGGAGACTTGTAAATGCTCAGGTGAGGCAAAAAAAAAAAAGAAACACCTGAAGGCTTGTTAAAGGAACCCAACTAATATTAAAAAGCATCTGCAAAGTTTGTAGCAACATGCTGTACATGCTAATTTGGACATTCATAGAAAATGTAAAAGCAGAAAGAGAATACAGTCACTTTTATAAACTCTAATACATTGCATTTAAATTCTGCCCTATGAGGTAAGGTGAGGTGAGGTAACTTTATTGGTACCTGTAGATTTGGTTTACAGTGAGTGAGCGAGTCGGCCTCCTTATAAACACAAACCATAGACACAGGATAAAACATGATAAACAGTGCTCAATGCTAAAGAGAAAAAGCCCCCAGTAAATAACATTTAAAGTAACCCATCGGTAAAATAAGGCAAGTGAATAAATAAAAACAAGATTAAAATAAGATTTACCACCAGAGAATAAATCATGGTGATTACAAGCAAGGTAGAAATGAGCCATCAGTAAAAACAAGATCACATAATAATCAATAAATAAACTCAAATGCTCCTCAAACATGGCTGCTGCATTATATCTGTCATAGTCACTAGTTTGGGATCTTTTTTAAAACCATGGAATAAGAAGAGGGAGAGCGCTGACTCTCTCTTTGTGTGAAGTCGTGTCAGTTGTTTCAGTGGCACCTCGCGTGACCTTTAGTGGCAGCTCTGTAATAACAAGTTAGCAGCTCGGGGGCCTGCGACAGTGAAACAGACGCCAAAGAACACACATAGCAGTAAACTGCAGTCATGGAATGTATTATTGAGGTACAGTATGCACGGAGGTAACCCGCCCTCGTTCTGACCAAAGAAGGACACCATTTTCACAAACTTTTAAAAGACAAAACAACAGTAGAAGTCAGAGGGCGGTAACGTTGAGTAGCATAAAGAAAGATAAAATGGAATAATTGGCCGTTTTGTATTGTTTTAGAAACGATTGATTGACAAATCCAGTGACTCAAAAAAAAAAAGGGAATCCTTTACTGTCTGCTTCCTCTTTGAGTTGTAATTGTCATTGTGTGTTTGTGTCATTGCTCACGTTCGTGCTTCCTGTTTCAAATCAGAATCAGGTTTTCATTGCAAAGCCTTTTTTTTGTTGGGTGCTTTTTTGGCAAAACATAAAAATCATTAAACAATAGAGAGCGATGCAGCAGTACACCCACTGTCCAAAAATGTGTCTGGGTTTAAATGTGGGATAAACTTCACACACTGTCTGCCTCTTTACTGGCTGGTTTTAGGATTAGATAATAGTCTTTTTTAACACATAAAGAATAACAAAGATAAACACATCTTATCTGTTTCCTACAAAAAGAGAAACATGTGATGGATCACTTTAAACGCCTCTGACGCATGCAGAGGAAAGGAGGACGGTTTTTTTTTTTTAAAACAGTGTTTTGTTGTCTGGCCACTTCTTGTTTGTCCTTTCATGATTGTTTGTCCTCTCTGGAGGGGGAACCTGTTGATGGATCGTCCTCCCCTTGCAGAAATAGACAGCATGTCTTCTCATTACCCGCTCCTGCAGTTCAAAGCACCGGGATAATTCAGCCGTTTGTCGCCTCATGGTTAGGGGGAAAACTTACAAGTATGTGTGTGTTTGTGTGCATTGTTGGTTTGGAAAGTCCTGGTTGGTATCGGGGGGGGGGGGGTGTCAGTCTGGGTCAGCCCTAATGTGATCTCTCAGGCATTTTCGAAACCTAATTGGCTGTCGATGAATTGCTTAACTCAGTGAAGAAGGCCGCATTGTCAGGCAGGAAGAGCTCACACTGGACACTTCCTGCCCCGCCGCATGCCCTCTCTCTCTCTCTCTCTCCCTCACAGCGAGGGCTCCCTCTCTCTGCGCCGTCGCTGAATAAATACAAATACGGGGTTGCTTGATATGAAAATTCAAGCTTGATTGAAATTTGAAATGGCTATAAAATTCCAGCCTGGCTTGAACACCGTGCCAAGTAGTTTCCTCTTTGTGATTTCTGTGAAGTGTTTATTTCAAGCCAAAGAAAAATTAGCTTGTTTTGCAGTTTGAATCTTTTTTTTTTACTTTTCTGTCTCAAGATCAGAGCAGGAATTGGACGTGTGCCAGGGTGCACAGTGCACGATCAGAGCAGCGAAACAGATGACATTCCCACTCGAGGCGTCCGTTGACCCCCCCCCCCCCCCCCCCCCTCGTCGGCTTGTCGTGGGTTTTGGTATCTTGAGGGGATGGGAAAAGGCCACATGCATGTAGATCTCTTTACAACTTGTCCTCATGTCAGGGCTCATAAAAAAGTGGAGAAGACGCAAAAGATCTGTGGTTCTCATTATACCGGTCCCCCACTGGAGAGCGGCTGCAAGAGTTCAGCATCAGTCCAGATGTTGAGCGGGGAAACACAACCCCGCATCACTGATGTGGCCCTGGGGATGAGAAGGAGGGGGGGGGGGACAGATTTACATCAAACCTCAGGTTCAATGCTGGCTCACAACTGAACATTTACTGTGAAGTCCTTTCATTAAACCTGCACAGAATGAGGACACACATTATTTACCTGAGTGAAGGAACAGATACCTGTACGGGGGTAAAGTGGAAGGGGTGGGACAAAAAATCACAGCGTCACCGCATCACTCCTCATGACTCTAAAGGTGTCAAAACATCCAATAAATCCTGAAGCTTTAAAAAAACCAGCAGATCTTCAGACACATTTTTAACCAAAAGCTGCCACCAGAGAAAAAGAGCGAGAGAGAGAGAGAGAGCGAGAGAGAGAGAGAGAGATCACTGTTTGAGTTTCTGTTTTTTTTCTCCTGCTGGCAGCACTCATGACCTCACTTTCAGAGCGCTTCTAACCGGTGCTTAGTGTTGCTAGATAATGAAAGTTAACCTCAACCTCCCTTAGTATTGACCGTTATGTGATTTAGATAGCTTAGTGTTCTTAATATTTTTTTTATTCAAGAAAATGTCCCAAAGAAAACAATGTGAATGAATCGTGACCTGGACGTTGTTCCCTCAAATCGACGAGTCAGATGAGTTTCTCCTCCGCCGTTGTTGTTGACAAAGCTGATATCAGAAGTCCCACATCTTCTCGATTCCTTGCTTTTGATTGGTCGGTGAGGGAGAAGTGACAGTAACTAGCTGTTCCAAAATCTGAGCTGTTTTTAAACAAGAGTGGTATGAGCACAGCCAAGCAAAACTGTTTTGGTTTTGTATGCAAAATGGGCGTGGCTATCGCAAAAAAAAAAAACAGCCATAGTGGAGAAAGTGGACATTGGAGGAAGTGACAGGACACATTCAGTGCATCATATCCCATCACATCGTATTGTATCTTATCCTGAGTAACCCTGCGACTCCCGCCCCATAAATTAGAAATACAGATTGATTTTTTTTCAGTCAAATAAAAGTCAACAGACTCAGAAACGTCCTCACTGATGACCTTCTGAGGGACGTCTCGATCAGCAGCTGTTCTGCAAAATGAACCGGACGTAATGTCATATTTAGGAGAATTTTAAACTTGTGAAAACAAAGAAACAAAGGACCTTTACTGTGCTCTAATGTGTAAATCTTTTGTTGTTGCCATGGTATGTAAACTTGTGTAGACATTGTTTAATCTTCACTAGTTGGTATTTTAACCGCACTACACTCTGTGCATGAGAGTTTGGAGTTTTTTAATCTTGAGTGGCCGGTGAATGCTGACCTGCTTTGTGTCTGTCACTGCAGCCTGCAGAGTGTGACCACACTATTAGGCCGTGGATCAAGGGACATGCCTTATCTACATCTCAGCCGGCCATTTATAGCCCCCTACCCTTTACGTCTAATGACCCGGACCATGGAGGTGGAAATAATGCAAATTGCATTTCCATGGAAATCTCTCTCTCTCTCTCTCTCTCTCTCTCTCTCTCTCTCTCGCTCTCTCTCTGCGAGGTGTTTGTTTTTGCCATGTGGGGGCGTGTCTCTTGAGGTGATGGGACCGCAGTGAGAGTCCAGGGTGAAACAGCATTTTTTTTCACTTGACACCTTTTCACTGACCTCACCCTTGGCTGCAGTGGAATGTGGTCTGCATGTGTGTGTGTGTGTGTGTGTGCGCGCGCATTCACCTGTGTATGTACACACAC